AGGATACATTATGTGAGATAAGGGATAGTGGGGGGAGAATAGTATGTTGACTTTGTCTTTGAACATGAAGTACTGCTACAAGTCCAGCAGAGTGAAAATGAAGATTTGAAGAGCAAATTCTTTGGATCAAGATGAACTGAAAGAGCATGCAGAAAAAAGATGTGAATATACACAGGTATCTTTTTTTAAAGGCAAGGAAGCTGGAGGAAGAAAGTTTGCTACAAAGTAACTTAAAAATTAAACTTTCCCTTACAATTTCAGTGCACCACTTTCAAGTTGGTGTCTCTCTTTATACGTTGTCCTTTCAGGCGTAATGTTATACTAATTCTTTGCATGTTTACTTTCTCAGCACATGATTGGTATGTTGCAAGCCTATGTATCAAGACAGAGCTTTAGGGTAGTTGCTAACAATTGTACTTTTCCTCTCTAGAAAAGGGCATATTCAGTCCTTTTAATAGGCTAAGTACAGACAGTCAAAAGGCTTGAGGCTATATTGATTCAGTCTTTGCAGGTTAGTCTAAGCTGCTTAGGTTGAACCAAGTGAATGGACATTCAGTTCTGATTATGGAAATGCAGCCACATGCCTGCAGTGGCCCAGGCTAGGAGATAGTGGGCTCTAGAGCATACCTCCTTGCTCAGCTAGAGCAGACAGCTTGGGCCAAGACGAGCCTGCCCAACCTTCTGAGGGAAGGTTCTTGGGGAGAGGTTCAAAGTGTTCTGGGATACTGGGGGACAGTGAGTTCACTTGAATTTGGAGGGGATTTTGGACAGAAGTGCAATAAACCAATTTAACCTCAATCAGTAAATCCTGATACTACATTCATCCAGGTTTATTTTAAACTAGCTTTAGCCATTTTGAAAGCAGTATATGTGCAGTGAAATTCTGTTTCAGATTTGAACTGGTTTCCAATAGCTTATACTAGTTTATTTGTAACTTCTGTCCCTAGCCATGGATACTGTATTTCTAATGATAGAGTGTTCAGTTACGAATCTTCTAACTGCTTTTGTCTTGTAAAGAGGTCAGGGAAGTAGACACTTCACCATCCTGCAGCTCTACTTATAGGATTATATAGAAAAAAGTGAAAGAGCCATTCATGAAAATGAAGCATTGTTTTCCAAAAAAATGAAAGGAAAGCGTCAAAAGTGTAGTTTGAGTAAATGTCAGAAATGCAGTGGTTTTTCAGAGGAAGGGTCTCCTTTAATCCTGAATCAGGATAGGGGAGAGGCATATGGAAAGAATTCAGTAGATTTCTGTGTATTCTGTATGAACTGAAGCATCTTGTACTTGCATTGTGTTAAAAGAATGCATCTCTTGGTTTATGCTGGCATCCTAGTACTAGTTAACAGCATAAAAGAGTGAACATAAAATTCCATTGTCTTGTGGCTATAAGTGTTCTAGCTAACTTAGTTGCCTCACTGTTTGACATGATCTTTTCAGTAAAGCATAATTTCATTATAAGATACATGGGCAGATCTAAGATTTTGAAAAGGAGGGTGCAGATTGTGCGGTGCATCATCACAGGTAACAACACATTTTTCTCCAGCGAAAGAGAATTTAGAAGCTTTACTAATGTGCTGGGGGCCCAGTGCTATATAATTCCATTTGAAATCAAAGCAAAAATCAATATAACTTCTTTGGAATGTTCAGTAATATAGTAAGTTTTAAAAAACACAGGACACTAGGCAAAAATGGTCAAAATTAGTTGAAAAAGATTGTCAATGGTTCTGTGGTCATCATGGTTAAATGTACTTATTCAGATTTTTAAATCAAATTCTGGTCTTCCTGAGTGTCTTGAACAGTGCCTCCAGTACTTCACCGGAGTTAATATTACCACATGGGAGTTAAAATTTTTAGCTACAGTTAAAAGTAGTCTGGAGGGCTGTGAAGTGAGTCATTACCAGGAATGTCTATCAGACAACATAATTGCAGAAGAAAGAATAGTTGAAGTAGTGGAACTTCAAGACCATTAAAAAGGAGACAGGTTCATTAACACCTATCTAATAAAGAAACATTAGCAAGAATCAAGTGGATTATTATTAGGTATCCTGGTTTTTCTGATGAAAAACCCTGCACATTCTCTGATTAAAACCCCCCAAATCCATGCACAGATCTGGGGGTCATGGGTCTCCCTATCCCCCTGCTATGAGAACTAGGAGGGTGGCAGTTATAATATTCAGGATCAGGATGCTCAATCTGAGAGAGAGAATTGCATGCCTTTCTTATCCCAAAGTGCTGCTCTGCTTTAAGGATACAACTTTAACGTCACAGTTGAATGCACTTGTATTAAGTAACCAAACAAAAAATAAGAAAGCAAAACAATGGGGTTAAGACAGCCATTTCAGTTTGTGTCTCTCTTTTTCCACCTGTTACTGGCCACAAGTATCTTTTATTGAGTGCCTGTAAGAAGTTGTTTTCTTATTCCTGGATGATCAGCTTCCAAACCTCTCAAGAGGATGTCTTCTTACTGATGCAGTATCTGTACAATCTTTCCCATTCACTGAAATGATGTGTTGTCAGGAAAGTGGACAACCAGGAAAGTGTTGTCAAGTTGCACAAAATTACTTGCTAGACGAGGGGTTGGTAGCCTCATAATCCAGATCCAGCCTCTGGAGCTAGGGTGGCTTCTGTAGTATTTTGACAGTGGGAGACTGACTACATTTCTGTGGTGGGGTACATAATCAGCTGTGGCTCAAGATGGGGACATCAGTTATGAATATCTTCTCAGCTGAACAAAATACGAAATACAGAGAGACCAAAACTCCCTCTTGGAAACCCTTATGCTTGAATAAGCCAGCACATCTATTTGACTTCCTTCATTCTGCCATAAATACCAAGGTCATAAGATCAGATTGGAGAGAGACATAATTGTTGTCTAGTAATACTGGGACCCAGACAATCTTGCAGCTGATCAGAGCCACAGTTCCTGCTGCCTCTAGCTCCAGGCATTGTGTCATCAATAAAGCAGAATTCTGCTTCCCAAAGGATAGGCATGGTGGAGAACTCTTTAAATGTAGGCTGTCTTTGCTCATACAGGGCCCAACCTATCTTACTGCCATCCAGGAAAGGCTCCAACTTGATATGTTATGAACAGAAATGGAGGTGCTAGTTGGAGTTGTTAGGAGCCCAACCATACGTTGGGCTGTGGTTCCTACCTTAAGGCTAAGGACAGTTTAAAGTATCACTTGGAGAATTAATAGCATATGCTAGACGTGCATCTCCACTGGAGAAACAGAAGTGATCTGGAGTTTAGTGCACACTAGACTAGGGGCTTACTGGCCTGAGAGGTAGTGAGGAAATACTGTGTAAAAGTCCATACGTAGCTAATTATTCCTTGTGCACCAGGGTGAAGTGCTGCCTCCTTTTCTCCCACAACCAGGTGTACATAGTTGAACACAGAGAGATGACCTAGTACACAGACCTTTCAGAGAAACATACCTTTCGTTCTCAGTTCTTGATACTGCTTCCAAAATTGCAGTCTTAACGGTAATTGAGGCAACCAAAAGGTACAGATGTCTGTATAGAATAGAGTAGTATTAGAATATTATGAGAAAACATGCACATGCTCCATTATATGTTTTTAGGCAACTTTGTGTTTCTGTATCAAAGGCCACAGATGTTGCAAATGAGTACACAAAAGTGACTTGCCCAAGACTTGCTTGTACATAAATACTTTTCTCCCATAAAGAGGTTAACTGCTCTGCATTATTTTTGAAACTCCTTTGCACCTTTGCTGATTTTTTTTATTATTGCTTTTAAATTTAAATCAGTTTCCCATTGTCTGTACTGTCTGCAGACTTTACTGGAAACTGCAACACCCGTTATAGAAGAATGATTTGCAGTGTATTTTATTTTACTCTTCAGGTATATTGTATTTAACCAGGTCTGTTTCAACTGTATGTAAACTTGCATTTATCATATTTGCATTGGATTTAAGAACTATATTTTCTTGTTTCAGCAATAGTATCAGCCATTGAGGGGAAAAAAACCCCCTCCATTAGCAGATGGTAGCAAAGGAGCCTGTGACTCAGTCATTTCTTCTAGCATAGTGAGGAGCACGTCTGGGTATTAGAAAGTTCTTTGGTCTTGACCTTGCTTGCAATTTATCCAGCTCTTATTTGCTAGAGTATTTGACATGACCCCTTGAAGAAGTAAATGCTTTAGATGAACTATATGCAGGATGGATTATTTTATTTAGCTGGATTGAACATGCCTAGTTATCTGATTCAGTAAGACTATTTTGACTTCCCTTTCATAAACATAATTATTCCAGATTGCCTTGAATGCTTCTTGTTTCTATGCTAAATCATTCTGACTTCAAGTAGCTTGCAAAAGGTATTGCAGTTAGCCAAAGCAGAAGAGTGTTATTTTAAGTGTCTGTTTTCACCCATGCACAGAATTCAATTACCTGCAAACTCAAACACTGTTATTAGTATGAAGATACAGAAATAACAGTCAGTAGATACCAGATTTGCACTTCACATTCTAAGTATCTTGTTTCAGAAAATATTTTTTTGGTCGGATTGGAATGGATTTGGGGAGGAGGCGTGCCTTCCACCGTAGTATAGGGCATGACCTTCCTTGCAGGCTCCTCTGAGAATATATTAACCAAATGACTTCCCTGTTGTGTTGGTAGTGCCCTTAATCTTCCTGCTTTTACCTGTGGTCTGTTGATAGGATATTTGGTGTTTGGGGTATTGTTCCTTATAATTGGATGTGAGGGTTTGCAGTACTAATTTGGGGATTCCTTTAATAAATGATTGCTTGCAAAAGCATGGGATTGGGTGTGATGGCTCTTCTAACTCTATACTCCTATGTTGCATTTGGCCCTATATTTTAATAAGTATAATCTAAGGTATTATTTTAAAAATATAGAAGTTATTCCAATTAAAAAAAAAAGTTTGAAAATAAATCTAATGCTTTCAATCCTGTGCCTAACTTCAGTGCATTTGAACTTGTGAATGAAAGTACAGTAAACATTGATTTCCTTTTTATTTTTCAGATGAAAATTGGGATGATGACCAGCTACTTGGATTTGAACCTTGCAATGAAAACCTTATAACAGGTTGTAATATAATCAATGGGAAATGTGAATGTGACACCATTCGGACCTGTAATAATCCATTTGAGTTTCCAAGCCGGGATACTTGCCTGTCGGCTTTAAAAAGGATTGAAGGTAAGCACTTGCCTTCAATAATTTCCAGTGTGTAATTTCTCAGCATGCCTTTCATTACGGTCTAGGATCAAGTATTATCAAATTACGAAGGCAGAAATGGCTTCAGGCAGTCATTGCTTTTTACTTCTGGAAGACTGGTCTGGTTTTTGGTGTTAAGAGAATATTAACAATGTGAGGTTTAAGGAAGATGCAGTTTTATTCAGCTTGGCTTCTGAGACCTCCTCAGTTTTTTAATATAGATGGACCTAAATTTGACTTGTGCATTTTAAAAGTATTTAACTGTTTACAAATACGAAACTGATTCCATTTGTCCTGTTTAGATGGTCCTTTGTTTACATTGTATGTGAAGGAACAATTTAGGGAGTTGTATTTTGTGCTGCTTCATATATTTTGAGAGTTGTGATAAAGTTACTTGTTGAACTAATATGATATTTAAATGATGAATCTATGAATAAATATATGTTTCAATAACACAGATAAAAAATAAGATCAGAAAAGTTTAGGATTTTTTTGTGGACTTGACTCATAAAATTTGAGGGACTCGGACCTGCTGCATCTGTCTCTGCAGAAATACATAATGTCTCAAATTCCTTGTTGTCTCTTACATGCATAAGCATACAGAACAGTTGGATCTGAAATAAGCTAGAAGAATCATGTATCTAGTTTCAGAGAACTTATTATTTTGGTGCATTATATGCTGCTTGGATATGTTTGGGACAGATTTGTCATCAGCTTTGTAATCATACTCTCATATTGTACTTTAAAACTGTTTTTCAACTGGCATTGAAAACATGGTGGTCTGAAGAGCTGGTAATGTGACTTGACTTTGTCATACTGTTTGTTTTCCAATACATTCTAAGAACTTGCAAGGTGGTTACCTTAAGTCTATGAACAAGTGAGTCCAGCTCAACAGCAATTGACAAACAAGGAATAATTGAATGCAGTTTAAAACTAATGCTAATAAGGCTAGTCATATTGGTTTGAGTTGTGATAGTGGTTTAAATAAATTAATAAATTCTGGTCAAGAAAGTGTGTTAAGAGAACTGCTGAAGTGACTGCTTGAGAACTATGAACTAAGTAATGGAATATCGTAGTAACTTGAAAAACCTGTTAAAGTTTGCGAAGTCCAAATTAGAAAAACATGGAAGAATTTAGTTGAAAAACCTAAATGAGTCTATGCCAGATTTGATCTGTTAAACCCAGTCAAGAGGTATAAGATATCTTGTGGTTCCAGTCCTAGCTATAGAGGAAAGTATGCCTAATACAGCCTTTATTTACCTAATAACGTAACAAGTAATACTCCATATTGTGTTTCTTTATTGTCTGAGGTAAAACCAATTTGCTTATATATTGTTTTGCTACTTTAGCTTGCAGTTTTGCTATAGTGAGATCTATGTGGGTACTGCTATAATTTTAATTGTGCTCTATCATTCTTTAAGAAAAAACTGTTGTGAATGGCCTTTTCTTTTCCTTTTCTTCTCTACTAAATTGAGAAGAAATAAGTCTAATAGGTGAAAAGGCATGGGTAATGTAAGTCACGCTGTGCAGTGCAGTGCAATGTTAGTACTTAGATATCAACAATCAACAACTGTTAGGAGTCTAGCAGGTACCTCTTAATAGAAACCACATTTAAGGTTTGTTATTTTATGGGAATGTCATTTACTTTAACAAGGCTTTTGGTGTCCAGGAATGAATCTTGACTATTTCTTATGTCTTCAAAGTATTTGGTGTTTTTAACAAACAGGAGAACAAAAACCACTTAAATCATTTTACGTTGCTTCAAAGAATTTTCCCTATAGTTTTGTACTTGAAGTACTTCACAAGCGGAACACAGCACACAAGAAAAGTACATATGGGCTGAATTGGATGGAAACAAATTACTCATGATAAGCTGTCACTGGAAGCTTTATAATATATGTGCTATATTTCTTTCCTCCCAGAAATAGCAATAATCTAGTTGTAAGTACCTTTTTGTAATGGGCATTGATATTTTTTTTATGCTTAAAACTGTAGCCCTCAGAATGCTTCTGTTAGGTAGTCAGTTCAGTTTTATTAGATGGCCACGTTGCACCTTCAGTCTGTTTCCAAGACTAGTGGAAGTGTCTTGTCAGTCAGGACTAGGACTTAATAGTTTTTGTTCAAGCTGCTAGTTGGTATCTCTAACACTCCAGGTTCTGAATTTTGAAAAAATTAAAGACAAATCGTGTAATGTATATCCCAGATTTGAATGATAATTTCTTTACTGTCTTGTACTTTGGAGACAACATACCTGTTATTCTCTCAGACTAGATCTACATCCAGATTTTGTATTAATGTGACTTCAAATTAAGGATGTGATGATGTTATACTATTTCAAAATTTGAAGTTATATCATTATAAAGATGCTTATAACAGGTATAGCTTATTCTTGTATATTTACAGTTATATTGATAAGTACACTGTGGGGTTGTATTGATTTAACTACATGTGCTAAGAACCATAGTTAGAATGATACAAAAACTCTGGAGGACAAGATTTTAAAGTTTCACTTAGCTAAAAATTTGAACTGAACATTTTGCCTTTCCCTAAATAAGAAATGTCAGAATCTTTGCTTAAATTAAAGCTGCTACCCAAGGAAAAACCACTGCTTCAGACATGGTCATCTGCATGTTAACTGCTCAAATGCAATAACACATTGCTTGTGAAGACATGGCTGGGGTTATTTAAAATTTGGATCAAGTCTGAAAATTTCTTATGTAAGGAGTGTTTCTTGATAGAGCTCTTCAGAGTTAAATTTGATTCCTGTAGTTGTTAAAACAGGTACTTAAGCGTGTATTTGCTTAAAATAGAAGTAACTAAGCCCAAAGTAGAGATCACACTGGTGTGGCCCATCAGAATAGGGTTTGTATGGCGAGATTAGGATTCAAATGTGACTGCATAAGAAGATAGGTACGTGACATAAATTTCAAGAATTCTTACTTCTCAGTGACTAAACATATATATTATCTCCATAATTGGTATTATGGAAGACCTAAGGTGGGGAGGAGACAGTATTTAGCTTTATGTTGAACAAAGAAACAAAAAAACCCTACAGAATCCTTTGATTCAGATTTAATTAAAATTAATTTTGTGCATGGTAGCCTTGGAAAGGAGGGGATACTTATGCTCAGATATATTTCAAGTTTTTGAGGGTCTTGTGGAATACTGACTTTGTACACATGACTCCTTTAGCTTGTTTGTTAGACACAATTGCAAAGGGCTTGGTGAGATTTGTTGCATTTACCTAGGTGACGCAATGCATAATCAGCCCGTGGAATTTGCTGCTAAAATATATGACGGAGGCTAAGTTTGAGATTTAAATGGAAATCTACAAAGCTTCAGATAGATGATTAAACAGCTGTGTTAAAAGAGCAGTAATGTTGCAAAATTTTGGACCCAAACTAGGAACTACTAAAATCATGGTTGCTTGTGAAACCTTTGTCAGGGTTGTCAAACTCATCTGGCTCTGTGGGCTGGATGAGTGGTGTGAGGCTGGTCTGTGGGCTGGATCATGCTCATGGAAGCCTCCCCCACCCCTTCCCTCAGCATACCTCATTTTGCAGCTGCTCCAGCCAGTCCAGGACCTGTGCTACATGTGGCACTTGTCCCAGAGCAGGTGCCACATATGGAGCAGACTGGCAGGGGCTGCCACCATTTGCAGAGCGGCTGCCTCTCTGGCAGGACTGCAGTGCATGTGGCTCCTATTCTGGCTGCTCTGGGATCTGTGCTGGATGTGGCACAGGTCCCAGACTGGCTGGAGTAGGAGAAGGGGGATAGTGAGGGAGGGGGAGGAAAGTGGGGAGGGGTCCATGGGCCAGATTCAGCCTGTGGACCAGCTCTGTGCCATGGGCTCAGGTTGTGACCCGTGTGGGTCTGATTAGACCCAGGGACAGCATTTCATGCTGGATGATGGGGCTCTACAGGCTGGTCCAGACCATAGCCATATGTTAGATACCCCTGTTTTAAGTTGTTCTGTTATCTGTTTTCACTAAGATAAAGTCTCTTAATAAAATCACATTTCAGACTCCCACAGGGCCCCTACTACATTGAGTGTTCAGTATGGACTATGCTTAATGAGCTGTTTTTGGTGTTTTGTTTTAGTCTTTTTGTGCAAGATTATATGTGTTTTCAGGTTTTATTTACTGCACGCTATTCAGACCTTGCTGTATAGAGAGAATTATTTCCTCGTCTGCTTTTCTATAATTCTCACTGTAGTATCTGAGTGCTTCATAAACATGACAAATTAACAACACTTTTGTGAAGGAAGGCATTATTTCCTTTCCCTCCCCCTGCCTTTTTGTTAATGAGAGCTGAGGCAAATAGCAATTTTAAGTCCAAAAGTTTCCTTTAAACTTGGGTGCCCAGGTTAGGACCTGATTTCTGCCCTCCTCCCCCCCGCCCCCCAGTGCATAGTATTATATATAGAATTTAATGTTCAAAACATGGATTCCATTGATACTGGTTGCAGTTTTGTCAGAACTAGAGTGCTGGCAGTCAGGTCCAATAGTCAAGCTGACTATCTAGGTCACCAGTCTAAGGGTTGAGAGCCTGAGGCAGGAGCTGGTATACTAGGCAAAGGTCCATAATCTAAGTAAAATCTGTGGATGAGGTGAACAGGAACAGGGGACATTACTGAGCAGAAACCAGACAGGGACAGGAGATGGGACTGGGCAAGAACCAGGCAGGGACTCAAGATTACTGTGCTGGTTTTTGGAGGGCCACTCAGGGACTGGGAGGGACATGTTGCTGTTTCTGTGCAAGTCATTTATATGGACCTAATAAGTGTATGACCTCCATTCAGGCCACAGATATGGACGAATGAGTTCTCTCAATGAGTGTCAGCACTTCCATAAATTGGATTCAGGATCTCAAATTGGGAATTCAGAAAGTGAAGAATGTGGCAACCATCTATGCAAAATCTGATTTAAGTGACTTGACTAATACTGTATAAGAACTCTTTTGGCAGAGGTAGAGAGAATCTC